GAGCGGGGGGGAGGAGGGTCTGGGGCCCGGCCGGGGGGGCTCGCCGTTGGCCTGCGCCCTCGCCTTTCCGGAGGAGGCAGGGAGCTGTGCGGCGGCCGCGGCAGCAGTAAATGGCGTCATGTGGATCCGAGGCGGAACAGAGCAGTTGTTGTCCCAGAGGATATATCGCATCCGGTCCCAGCTCATTGGCTCGGCGGGGCTACATTCACTCACACTCCAGCGGCCGCCAGCGCTCCGAGCTGCAGGAGGCATTCAAAAGGGCAACCGCGCCGCCCCGCGCGTCCCCAGCCGCTGCTGCAGCCCGGGCGCCGTCACGCGGGGCCGCCTGGCCACCGCGAGGTCAGTTTATGTAGCTTCAAGGAAACACTGACCTTAAGGCTTTCCCCCAGAGGCCATGAGAGCGAGCCCGGGGCCGGGGCTGACCTAATGAAACTTTCTCCTTCGCCACCGGCAGAGGGGAATGAACATTGTAAACGAATCCCGGCCGCATAGTGTTAGCACGAAAAGCGACTTCAGCTTTTCGACTAGATCTGGAATCCATTTCGCTTCTACCCACCCCCTCCTCGGTCCCCCAGCGCCCACGGGGGGCGGCGGGAGGTGGGGGGGGGGGGGAGCCGGAGGCGGAGGGAAAGGGGAGCGGGAAGTGAGGTGGGAGGGCTATTGGTTTATTCTTTGTCTACTGGATTAACCCGATTATACACCAGGCACCAGCACAACCCGCCTCCCCCACCTCGAGCCTTGTACGGGAGGAACGGAATGCAGATTCGGGTTTCAGGTCCCTTCCCTAGCTGGGATTGGCTTTTGATTGTGTCTACTCGTAGTTTCTCGGTTTGTTCGAGTTTTATTTTTAAGGGGATTAGCTATAGACGAAGGCCTTTTGAAGATTTTGTTTTAACTGCTGGAAACAAGTCTTTTAAATGAATTCAGTAATACACACGCGATTACTCAGGGCGACATCATGGACTTCCGAAATCGGTAGAAAGGGAGGCTCACTGTTCCCTTCAGAATTCCTCCTTCTTCAAACCGTAAATAACAGGAGATTCATCTTTCATTTCCCACTCTGTCACCTAGAACATTTCTCAAGAGGTTCATATTGTTCGTGCTGGAAGTAGACTGTAGTTAACCACGTAAAAATTGCATACGCTCTGGCCGCTGTTGGTGCTCCAGGAACCGGGCGTGCACGTGGAAGTCCCGGGGTCAGTTCACTGCATCCACACGCTGGCACAGCAGTCTTAGCCAAGCACTTGCAGAAGGCTTGTCCTTTACGGGGTGTACCTGCTGTAGGGTCAGAACCCCCGCACCGCACCTGCGACCTTGCGCCACGCGGGGTAGGGCTAGGAAGCGTGGCGTTTGTGTTCCTTAGCGCCAGCCCCCGGCCCCCCGGCCCCTGGCTGCCTCCCCTCGACCTCTCGCTCTGGATGTTCCCCGGCCTCGCAGCGCTCCCGCCCTGCCCTCTCTCCATGTTTCTCCACGACTCTCCTTCGCCTGTGCTTTGGGACTAGAGATGGCAGGGGAAGTGGCAAGCGTTATTTCCGGGCGCTGGGGTACGTCCTCCCATCCCTCTGCTGAGGGTGGAAAAGGTTACGTCGGCCCTCTGGGTCGCGTCCGGGGGACTTGGAGCGCGGGACAGCCGGGTCTCTGCGGTCCGGGGCTGCTCGCGGGACATCCGAATCCTTTGAGTCTCAGGCAAGACAGCGCAGGCACCGCTGCGCTTCCCCTTTCCGCCACCAGGGGGCGCGCGTCCGGCGCGGCACTCCAGCTGCTTTCTTAAGGACACAAAGCTGGCTGGAGGGGTTGCCTTCAAATGAGGGAGTCTGGCTAGCACAGGGATTTTAAAAGATAACGTGTAGCGTAAACGCCACGTAAGGTGGTATTCTACCATCATCTTACACACATTAGCTTTGAGGTTGAGTGACATTGATTCCTGAGAACTTTTTACTCAAGGGTACGAGTTGAGGCTCAAAGGCAGGTTGTTCAAGGCTGTTGAGGACGGAGTTGCTGTGTCCTGCCAGCAAGCTGTTGAAGCCAAGCTGGCCAGAGAAACCCCTCTTCTTACACCCTGGTGCCTGGTGGCGACTTCTTGGGCGACATTTGTCTGATGCCATGCGGTTTCCTCCAGCGCTGGAGGAGCGTTGGCAACAGGTCATTAGGAATCAAAGCATAAAATGGAATTTAGATCAGGAACTTCCGGCTAGTAAGAACACCTTATACTAGAACACTGTGAGTCAATGGGGAAGAATCTAGGAATTCTTTTTTTGGGGGGGAGGGGTCTTTTTGAGATAGGGTCTCCCTGTAGCCCCAGCTGTCCTGGAACTCACTATATAGACAGAGATCCGCCTGCCTCTGCTTCCCGAGTGCTGGGATTAAAGGCGTGTGCCACCACTCCAGGTTTAGGAATTCATTTTTATCTCCCATAAACTAGAAAGAATTTTAAGTAATAATCTAGTTTTCTTTTTCTCCCTCCATAATCTCCACTTTGTTGCTTAGGAAAATATTTAACCTGTAACTTAAGAACAAAGTCAATAAAAGAATCTGTTAGATTCATTCTAATTATTTCTTAGTCTTTATCTTACTTAGTGCAATATTGTTTTTCAGCCAGTGAAGTGTATAAAGCTACCGTACTGTGCTTTCCAAAGACTGCTGTTTAAACAGAAAAGATGAATTATGTTTGTGCACACATTGTATGTGCACAGTGAGGTGTTTCATGAAGTTATTGTGCCTCCAAATCCATTATCATGTTATGTTCAGAGGTTAAAACGGATTAATTGTGAAAGTGAATCCAGGATCGTAATAGGGGTCAGCCAAACTTCACAAGGGATCCCATTTTCAAATGTGTTGTGGAAAGTCCTAGAAAGAGAAGCCTGATATAAGCACAGGTTTTGCCACTTGTCAGATGATGAAAAGAATAGAATCCATGTTGCATGGATACTCAGCTCTAGGTTCCCAGGATTCATCAAGTAACAGTTTTCCAGCACTGACTGTTGAGTAGGAACTGTCATGAATTTGAGATTTCTCAACTTTTTATTTTCTGAAGCCATTTATTTCAACTTCATTTCATAACTATACTCTTCTTTGTTTTCAATGAGGTAGAATACAAACAGGTAAATTTCACCTCCTCCAATCTTTGATAGATGGTAATAATGGAGACCGAGTCTTAGTTCAGAGTTGCATTGAGTTGAAGTTCTTTTTAGGATTGCCCTTGTCAGTAGGCCTCTGCGTTTGGGTTTTCATTTTAATAAGAAAGTGTACTTTTAACCAGCTCTCACTCCAGGTTCTTTCTGAGATTTGAACACCCCCACCCTGCACCCCCCAGCTTGGTTTTGATAACCTAAGAGAGTTCTTGTGTGCTTTTGAGACAAATAATAACTATTTGAACATTATGTTCTATTACTAAAGCAGTTTCTGTATTCATATTTAAAGATGGTCACAGAAGACAGTGTATACTGTTTCCAAGGGTTACAATTTGGGCCTTTCTACCATTATTTCTCTTTACAACCCAATTGGGATAGTAAAATTCATGTATGCAAGGACTCTTCAGGGACCTTCCTGCAGCAAAGGGCTTTGCTTGAAGGGACCTTTTGATTTGGCAGCCACAACTGTTATCATTTCAAGTTCTGAATTGCTTTGATTCCTAACATTCTGTTGATATTGCCTCCAGGAGGGAAATTGGGAGTGGCTGCAATAAAGATGCAAAGGAATTCAGAATAGACCACTTGAGGTCTTATCTCAATTGCTTAGAGGACTGGAAGCAGTTTATCTCTGGATCTAGCCTTCTTTGCTGATGTCCTTTATCCCTAACTAAACTCAGAGCAAGATCTCAGGTTATCCTAGGGTAAGAGGAGTAGCTGTGAGTGACCTTGAATCAGAGGCTCCAGCACTTCTGATGTTTTTCCGAGATCTAGTATTTAGCTGGAATCCACCTGTGGTGTGTACTGGTTAATGAATGAATATTCCTGCTAGATGCCTACCTATCATCACTGTAATTTATTTAGAGTTCAATATGGCTGAAATTCTGTAACAAGGCAAGGAAAGAATTTTACTCCTGGACAGCATGGGTTTTCCCCATTGTTTTTGAGTATATGTGAACTTTGACCTAAAGTTCACATTTCTTCCTTTGTAGGACAGAGTGCAGAGATTTAGTCTTTTGTCCCCTCTGTAGCCTTAGGTTTGCTTTTCTATATGTTTTTTAACCTTTGATCTTCTTTATTCTGGAATCTTTATTTTTTCAAAAATGCCTCATTAAATGAAAATCATTAATTGAAATTAGTCTTTGGATGTTGTTGGTAATATCTCATGGCACTAGGAAGATTTGGCTTCTGAATAAATAGAATTGTTTAGTTTGATTTTAGAACTGCCCTCACTATGGAGCCCTGACTAGCCTGAAACTCATGGGCAATCTTCCTGCCTCTGCTTCCTGAGTGTTGGGATTACAGGCTTATAGGCATGGGTTACCATATCCAATGGATATTTCATACTTCTCATTATGTGGACACTTGATGGAGAGGGTGCAGGAAGTTCAAACTGTTCTCTAGGGAAGATGTAGTTAAGTACATTCCACGGTTATTCTTATCCTCCAAATGCCACAATATTATGGCCAGCTCTGAATCTCAGCAGGTTAATTCTAAATAAGTTCAGCTCGGTAAATGGAATATGATTGCATGCAGATTTAGCTTGTTCTCATGGGGAGGAAAGGTTTAGAAATTACAGAGAATCATTTGAAATATTGTGGAGTTATATAAAACAGCTTTCTAAGACATACAATATACTGAATATAGCCCTAAAGGACAGGCTGCCCCAAAGATCTAGGCAATCTATATCGGCCCTCAAACTTTTCTGCTTAGGTCTTGGAATTGAAATAGAAAGGTTTTTCAATTCTAATACTAATACTACTATGGTTTAAACATATGGTAAACTTTTTTTCCT